CGCCAACAACTAGCCCGAGAAGGTGAGCGAACTAGTTTGCTCAGGCGTGAACGCTACCCCGCCCCTGACACGGACGCCAACAACTAGCCCGAGAAGGTGAGCAAACTACATGCAGGCGTTTAGGGGTGCGTGTGCGAACGCTACCCCCCCTAACACTGACGCCAACAAGGGGCTAGAGAAGGTGAGTAAACTTCCTGCAGTCGTGCAGACGTGCGTGCGGGAACGCTGCCTCGTCTTAAGCGGTTCTGAACCCCCCCCCTTCTCCAGTAGAAGTAAAATGGCTCATTTTCTCGTGCAGGCTACGCTGCGTAAGCCAATCAGATTACTAGCGTTGCACTGGCTCGCAAATCCAAATGAGCTAGCAAATTGCTAGATTCAGGCGACAAAATGCTATCAGGGCAGTTGCAACATCTCATTCAATTGTTAAATATAAATTCAAGAGACTTATCGCCAGTGTAAATTTAAGCAGCGAGGGACCTTTAGGACTTGTCGTTCTATAAGGGGTGACCTCGGGAACGTGATGCAGTCCGAAGTACAGAAATATTTGGAAGACACAGAATAGTCGTGTCTGAGCAGTTATTTCCGAAAATCGGGGAATATGAAACACACTAATGGATTATTTCAAACCGACTTATTTTACACACAAACATGAAGACTAAAACATTCTAAGCTCCAAGGACTTGGAGTCTGAAGCCATTAACTAACATGGTCACTCCCATGTTTCTTTTGTTCTCGAGCAATGTTGTCTTGCGTGCCGTTGGTTGTTGCGCTCCCCGTCGTTTTTAAATCGTAAGGCGCTTGTTTTAGCTGCCCCTTTGACTTAACGAAACCTTTTTATGGCATATCATTTCGAGCAACGAGATGATTACACCCAAAGGAAGATTCCTTCTTTTATCAAAGTGTTCTCAAAGTAATCTTGTGCAATGATCACTTCGTTGGGTACTGGCTGTTTGTGCTAAATTTTTTACGCCTGAGGGCAGAGACAGGGCTACTTTCGAGTGCAAAGTGTAGCATGCCATTCGTCTAAAAAAATTTAACCGGTGTTTCCTCTGACCCGCTCTTCTAAGATGCCAAGCTGCGTTTCCAAATAGATGAAGGATGTGTGTAGCATAGACCTGTGGCGATTTGTTAGTGGTGTTTCTTTGCTTATGCTGATCGATGAACTTAGAGTTCGGCATTTAAGACTGACTTCCCAGATTTCTCTAGGTTCTTGCAGTGGGTGAGAAATACCAGTTGCCAGTCGCTTCTCTATTTGTTCATATGCCTTTTTTATCCGAGTTCAATTCTTAAATTGCACTCATAGTTGCTTTCGATTCTTCGATGCTATTTCTCGTTTTGTCGACGAGTTTTTTTTCTAATTCGAACGGTTCATAGGCTTTTGATTCTTTATGTATAGTCGTTTTTCTGTCGGCCTTGAGTGACTTCTCTTATATTTTCTGCACTCCTTACTGTTCCTACGTCGTTTCGCTGCTTGGTTTATGCTATCACTAAATTATGCCCCTTTATCCGTATTCCTGTTAAGCCGTTTCTCCAGCGATTAAC